ATCTGCATCATTCAAAGATGTGGGTTTTTCACAACCCTGAGCAGCAGGTGCACCAAACAAATTGCCTAATGTAGACGAGGCCGAAGTCAAGAATAGCTTCTCCTTCGGAGCGTTCTAGAGCAGTTCAGCTGTCCCGAAGAGGGTGGCAGGGCGCATGCATTATGCCGAGCAGCATGTCTGATGGGACCTGGGAAGGCGAAGATGGTGTGTGAAGAGCAAGTAGCCAGTGATACCAAAACAGTAACAACGTCAGGATGCCGGGGGGGCGGCCTGTAGGAGCCTGGGAGGATCCACTAGCTTACCAGGGACAATGGGGAAGACGAGGATAGTGCAGAGAAGCAGAATGATTTCTTTACCCCAGGGCATGGGCCCTATCCTGCAGCTCCCCCTTTCTGGTAACACATCACACAATCCATTCCTCACCTGCGTGGGAAAAGTGGGAGGGAGTGCTGAAGGGCGGCTGCTTGTGGGGGGGCAGGGAGTTCATGACGAAGGCATCCAAGGTGAGGAGCAGCGGCGAGCACGAGGAGAGGTTGGTGAAAAGCGGCCAGTAGAACTGTTGACCGGAGGCCCGTTTCTAGCACAGCACGCTCGGGAAATCGCTGCTAGAGGCGTCACTGAGGCCAGCAGCGTAGCAGAAAGAGCCTGCTGGTTTCGGTGGGTGCGGGGAACAGGCAAAGCTATAGGCAGGGATCTAAACCCGCCTCTGCCAGGGCAGGAGCCAGCCTGTGACTCGGCGAGGAAGCAAGTGTCCCTCCAGGCAGGTCACTCCATCCCCACGCGCTTGGGGCTGGGCTTTATTTCAGATGGTCTCCTGGTCTGACCTGGCCTAGTCGGGCAGCGCCTTCTGAGCTGCGCTCTCGCTGGCACGCTGGGATTCCACTCCCCCTCTAACGCACGTGGGAGGGCTCCCTTCTGCTGTCACCGGCCCGCAGTGGAGCTGCAGGAATGGTGATTCTTCCTCCTGGAGCACGGGGTGGAAGGGAGGTGCGCTGCCCCGGCTCTGGCGCATGCTGTGTGCGCGAGGTGTCCTCTTGCATCATGACAGCGTTTTCTCCCTGCCTGGCATGCTGTGGGCAAGTCTCTATATACACTGTGCAGCTAACTTTTGGCTTTGTTTCCCTTCCTTCTCCCACCCCCTTCTTCTCTCTCCTTTCTGGGTGGACACTGCCGCCTTCTGGCTGCAGCAGCTTTTGGAGATACTCAGCCGGAGGGCAATGTCTTCTTAGCGGCAGCTCTGGAGTGCCCGAGTCACAGCGACGGTCGTATCCGTTCTGACGCTTAAAAAAAAATTAGAAGTTACAAACAGGCAGCAGCCAAATGCACGAAACCCTGCATGCATCTGATGCTCTGTGCGCTGCCGCCTCTCTGTTCTCCATGGATCCATCGTGTCTGTTTCTGCTGTACGAAGGTGTTTTTTAAATCTAAGAGAGACATGTTGTTTGTATTAATAAAATAAATAGGAATAATGATCAATAAATGACAGACTATCCAACACCCCCCTCCAGGGCTGACGAAATGGCATCAACTGGAGCATCTTTCAGAAACCGAGCGAGGGGGGAAGCAAAAGCGAAGGCGAGAGCGCGCGAGTGAGGAGAAGAGGAGAAGGCAGCTTGAGCAGCAGACTGCCGAACTCTGATCACAAGGCAAAGTGGAAGCTAACATTGCATTCAGGCTGTGCTGGGACTTGAATCGGTGAGAGGTGGCAAGGAGACCCTTGAGGGGCCTGGATGAAGAATGGGAGGGCAAGGTGGAAGAACGACACTTCTCCCCTTCGCACTGCCTAGCAGACTGACTTCAGTCCGAGTTTCTTCTTAAGTCTTCAGAGTGGTGCGGATGCGGCAGCACGCTGGCTGCTCAGCGCCGACAGACGTCCTAAAACCAAAACAGGCTGTTGAGTAAAAACCAAGGCTGGAACAGTGGACTGTAAAAAATGGCTTAAATAAAAATATAAATAGGAACTTGCTCTTGAGAGATCCTGGTTTGAGAAGTGGCCGCTCTGTGGCCAAACATGAAGTTTGCACCCAGCTGAGAAAAGGAGCGTGACGAGCAAAGGTTTTAGCTGAAAAGGGTACATGTATGGGATTTTCTTTTATTGCTTTCTTTTTCTCGTAGTACATAGCTGGGATTCGCAGTGCTGCAGAACATGTGTTCCTTAGGAAGCAGATGAGAAAACTAAGTGTTATGTTCTTTCATGGAGACTCACGCATCCACCTCTGTATGATGCATCCTTAGCCTGTGTTTTATACTGAAATATATGCACCATAGAATTAAGGGGCTCACCAGCTTCCAGTTTGATTTTTTTGTTGTTGTTCTCTAGTAAAATAGCAGAGGGAGCTAACAACCAAGCGCAGGTGTTTCTCCCATCCCCGCATCTGTTTGTAAATGTCATGTGTCCTGGTGTTCTTCTGGATAGCTTTTCTGTTTCTTTATGGTAATATCGTAACTTATAAAACAGTCTGCTCAGAATCTCAGCAAACTGTAGGCAGAGGACCTCAGGCCTCATGAAACAGAGGGGGAAAGCAGGCCCTCTGATGCTTGTCCTTTGGGCAAACTCATCTTCCTTCCTTCATTTGCTAGGAGGAGAAGGTTGAATTATTTTAGCTTGCTATGAATTAATCCTGGCCCAGAGAAGCAAAAGGCCTTTTTACTAGACTCCTCTAGCACTAAGAAGCCCCGTGATTTCTGTGGCCTGATCAAGAGGGGGGCAAGGACTTGGTCATTATTGTGGGATATTGATATGAGCATTTAATCCCTCCAATTACAAATCACTAAGTTTGGTCCTGGGGCCTTACAGTATGTTAGCGCTCCGCCTCAGAGGGACCGAGCAGACCGTGTATTTCAAGGGAAGGCAACATTGCAATAGACAAGGGAAAGGGAGAGCTAGATCATCCTTGATCCTGGTTCAGTGGAATGGTGGGAAGGACCTGGGAGCTGCAGCTCTGCGTGGTGTTGCTCCCTTGCTGTGGAAATCCCTCCATGCCCCCTAGGTCAATCCCACACACGATTAGAGCAGCTAATACAGGATGCCGGGAAAGGTCCATTCACATTTTCCCACAGTTTGTCTGGACAAATACTTTTCTTCTTTCCTTCACCGTCCCAACCACATGTGGGGGTGGAGTGGGAACTGAGACAGGAACGGGCGAACACTGGTTCCTACTGTTGGGGAACATGTTCAGAAGGGCATAAGCTAGTGAGTCAGGAAGAGAGGAAAAGTTTTGATATTTTATTCCAATTTGTTTTTAAAAAGCCACACAGAGAGCAAGCAGGACATTACAATTATGCAGTTTTTGAGGGAGAAATACAAAAAATTGTGCATGCCTTCTTCAGGTCTGATCTTTTCTCGTCTTTTTACCTGATGATGATTAATGATTAAGCGACCCTCTGTATTTAGTATCTGCATCTTTCAGAGAAAACTTTTAAAAATGGATGGGTTTTGATTTTGCACTGGCTTGGAGACAAGCTCTTTGTTTATTCTTTTGAGTTAATGAGAACCTTAGCTTGGTATGGCCATTATCAGGCATAGCTATACACCTTTAGCATTCTTAATGTTCTCTTACGGGGCTAATATAAGCATCTATATAATATATATTATAAATATCACATTTTAAACAGGAAATGGAAGGCACTTGATGCAGAATTTTTGCATGATATAGAAATAAAGTTAGCTAGTGTTTGTTTGGTCTGAATGTTGGTAGAATCTTCATAGCTTTGTTACAATGGAACCTTGAACTGAAGATATTTAATAAAATAACATTTAAACGGGGCGCAAAGTGGAATGGCATTTGTCTCTTCTCTGTACCATGGGACAATGTGGTCCAGAGGCTTTTGGCAGCGCTGGTTTTGGAGCAGCAGATGTAGGTGAGACGTTGGTCCACATGCAGGAAAATAGATGGTTGCTGACCTTCAGAAAAGATGTGGAATCCCAGCAGTGTGGCCCGGTCTCGTGTTGACATGCAGGGCACGGTGCAGGTATCCCTGCCTATGCCTTTGGAGGCTGGCTTGCTCACTTTGCCACAGCTGGAATAAGAGCACCACTGACAGCTGGGTCCTGGAAATTATCTGTCGGGCTACTCCGTAAGTTTCTTTCCTTATCTCCTCACCACCCTTCTAAACTCCGTAATGGACAATTTACCCTCAGGAGGCAGAGGAATCCCTTTTGCACTGAGGGGTGACAATGCACCCCACCTCTGTACCAAGGGAGAGGCCCTTAATTCCCAAGTTTCCATATCCCAAAGAAAGATGGAGGGTGAAAACCCATCTTGGACCTTCAGCTACTCAACATTTTTATTTGACAGCTGAAATTCAGACTCATTACGCTGGTCTCTCTCATCTCCTCCCCTCAGGAGGGAGTGTGGTTGGTAGCTCTCGGCAGGACAGATGCCTGTTTCCATGTAGATGTCCTAGTTTCACATCCTCCCCTTTGGGCTTGCTACAGCACCCAGCTAGTCACAGAATCTTTGCCACGGTAGTAGCCCAGATGCAATGCCAGGCTTTCTGGTGTTGCCATAGGTGGACAACTGGCTTCTTATAGGCCAGTTGTGTCAGGAAGGTGTCTGCAAAAGCATCACCTCAGCACCTCCTTGCTACCCTGTTTAGTCTCGTAAATGAAGAAAAGTCAGTTTTGTCACCCATCGTTTTCATACCACACGGCTGGTGTCCGTCTCAGAGTATTCCTCCTCATGGACCTGAGTCCTAGCACCACTCCCAAACCACAACAGAGCGCCCGTGTCTTCCTCCATGCAGCCACATGCCGACCACACTCCACGTGGCTCCAATCAACCTACTGACTGAGCAGGGATTGCATTGAGTCCAATGTCCCTGTTCCCCTCCGAGCCCTCGGCTCCCTCGCTTAGTGATCCAGGCCAGGCACAGTCATGGTGGGGACCCTTGAGCCCCACCACCCGACAGACACTTCCCTTAGAGTGAGGTGCGCACCTGGACCCCAACAGGCAGGCTTGCCCCGGTACAGCAGTTCAGAGGCAGAGCGGATGAGCCCCTGCTCCTGGCTGTGATGTGAACAGGGCGGTGGCAATGTTTGATGTGCGTGGAGTGAGCGTATGAAGGGAAAGAAGCAGGTGGAACTCCACGGCTCTGCAGCAATCTGCCCCTTCCTCTTGCAAGCCCTGAGAATTCTAAATTCCAGTTCCTGCTTGCTGGCTCCGTGTGGAAAGGTCCCATCGTCTCTTCCCAGGTGACCATGGCAGGACAGAGGGCCCCCGCCTGCCCCACCACAGAGCGTCGGGAGAGGAGTCTGGCCCCAGCATTCACATGGGCAGGCTTCCCAAAGCGTGTGCCAGGGGCTCTGAAGAGACACGCGGCAGCGGCGTGTGCTGGGGCAGTCACCTCACCCGGGTCTTCGTCTCCCACCTGCAAGACGATCTGATCCCTCCACTCTGTGCTGGTGTCCTTAGTCCAGAAGCAGTGGGCCCCTCTGTGCAATGTCGAGTTGCTGCTAGCCATATCACGCAGTGCCAGACACCTGCCAGCCTTCCTCGGGCAGACCCTTGCCAATGAACTGCACTGCCGCGTGCAACGTCCTCAGGACACTTGGCAGAGCAGTGACAAGCGAGGGATCCATCCCTTCTAAACACAAATGCCGGGGCGCATGGCAAAGAACGGCTGTTGAAAAAATGGCACAAAAGCTAGTCAGAAGCCAGTGGAGGGCTGGGCTGGGCCAGAAAGCAGTGCGTGGCGGGACACTTAGCACAGTCCCTAGAGGCGTCACAACCTGCCCTGCCTTCCCACAGCTGCTAGTGAGCGTTACTGCCCTCGCTGTGCATTGCAGTCAGTGGTGGTGCCCCAATGTGAGCGTGGTCCGTCACCAGGGGGCTAGTCTGACCAATGGACTGTATTCTGGCTTTTATGTCAACTTTGGGGTGTCAACATAAGTTTGGTCAACAAAACTTGCTAGTGTAGACAAAGCCTAAAATGTGCTGTGAATTGAGGAATCGGCCAGATATTAGCTCTCCAAAGACAACAGTAAGAAAATTAACCAATTCCTTTAGCACAAAAATCTGGGTTAATGTGGTGACAATAGTACATCAAACCTTGATTCGGGAACCAGTCCTCCCTTTACACCATTGATTCCTATGGGAAAAGAGGGTTTGACTTAACAACATTTCAATTTACGACCCAATTTATTCCTCAGACTTGTGCGGTAAGTCGGAGGACTCCCAGTACTCGCTCAGCCAGCTACTGTTCTCCATCTACTTAGGGAGAGTTGCCAGCTTTATCAGTCACATAGCCTGGCCTTAGACTCTGAGTGCGCACTGTATATCCAGGATGGCCCCGACAGGGTGCAACTTCAGAAGCATAATGTTCTTGATTCAGCATTTCAAGTCCTCTTGGTATCTTAGAAGCAGAGAGCCAGAAGGGTTTATAGCTTTATACAGAAACAGTTTGAAGTCTGGTGTGAAAAGACCCTTTAAGGGCCCCCAAATGCAATCAACGTGAGTACCTCGTTTGTCTTTTCAGACGCTCTTTTGGCCTGCTATGAACAGGTGAAAAATAGGCATTTATGTACAGCCCCCTTTATTGTCAAGGTCATGTGCCACTTGCTACAGCTGAGAACCCCCTTTCCTCGTTTTGAAAACATCCCTTGGTTGAGAGAGATTAACTGGGCCAGGACTGAGCTGATGACAGTGCCAGCATTACTCGAACAAAAGCCATCGCTCTATCCCTTGTCCTAGGTAGAGTGACATCACTTCGCAGACCCCGTGTCTGGAACAGCTAGATAAAATGCAGCACAGGCAAGAGGATGGTGCTGGTGGTGTAGGAAAGGGAAAGCTTTGGAAGAGTTCACTGAATCCATAACCACGGACGGTATTTATGCTTCAGCCGTGGAGACGACACATAGTCTTGGTGTCCTGCTGCACTCCTTGGTGCTTCTAAAGAACCCAGTAGCAATTGTGGTAAATGCCTTTTTCATCCATGCAAGAGCTGTGCCTTTTCCTGTTGAATACCATCACAGTCAGCTGCACCACCTTCACCTTCAGGCTTATCTAAAGTGACGGCCTATGCCCCAGCAAGGAAGCAAAAGACCCCAGCTACGCACGATGATTTCGCCAGAAATTAGTGAGCCCAGATCTCACCGCTAGGGAAGCCGTCGCTCCTCGTGCTTGCTTTCCCACAATAACATGAGAATGACTTGGTAGCACACACTGACACCTGAATTCCTTTCTTTGTACATCCAGAGTGACTGAAGGGAAAGTGGAGTACACAGATTCTTCTGGCTGAATTTGTATACCTAATTCTGGAGATGCCCTAGCATCACAATGATAGGCTCAATGTGGACACCTCTGTATGCCTGCGAACTCTCTGTTTTGTGAAAATGTTCAAGAATGTGTGCTCAGTAGGGGTGGGAACAAGGGGTAATACAATAGCCAGGTTTTAGACAGCACTTTTCATCAGCAGACCGGTAGGGGGAACCCTCTTTACCAGCTAGAGACAGTTTTGCTTTTTTCATCCCTGTAATGCTGGCTGTTGGGTTCTCCTCCTGAAGGGCAGCTCTCAAGTGCTCTAGCTTCAAGAGTAAGTCCACTGTAGTAAGTCCACTCTCCCTGATGAGACACGTCTGTGGCTGTTACTGAACTAGCACTTTCCAAAGCTAGGCTGCAGAAGCCTAGTGGACAGAATGTTGGGCTGGAAGACCAGAAACCTGGGTTCTAATCTGGTTTCTGCCGCTGGGTGACTTGGGCTGGTCATAGCCCTTCTTCATGCCTCAGTTTCCCCAACTGTAAGATGATGATACTGACCTACTTTGTAAAGTACTTGATTTACTGCTGGCAAGAGTGAGGTGGTATTACTTACCAGAGTAGATTCCAATGTATTCATATCCACCCTCCTCTCCTTAGAATTTGAAATATTCTTTATCTTTTGTGTGTACTCCTTTTGTCATACTTGATTTTGGAAAGTACATACCCATAGACTTTGCAGGGAGGAGCCCAACTCACTTGACTGAGGGGTTTGTAACAGCTGCTGATGTGAGCATCAATAGCTTTTCAGTACTAGGTGTTCTTGCCTGATCACAAACCGACCACGGAGCTTAGAGCCAGAATCTCCTGTGATGTTATATATATAAAAAATCAGGAAGAAGGGAAGCAATTTCCCTTTCTAAACAAACTGTTTTTAGAAAAACTATAATACATACACTTGAAAGCCTGTCTGCTCATGGTAATTAAGACAATCTGGCTTATTGGTGGAGAGAGATAAGGAACTGAAATGATAAAGTTTTAACTCTGAAAGTTCTGTCATACATACACTAGATGCAATGGTGTACAGGGATAGGAAAGTTTCATTGATGCTTATTTGGGATGACCTGCATCATCACTCATGAAATGGCAGTCCTACATTTATCCCCAGGAACCTTTTCTCCACAAATCCTACATAAGACATGAATGGTGGTCAGGTTCAGCCAGGGGGGTGATGTGCCACACTTTCAGTTAGAGACATTGGTTTCTGCAAGAATCACTTTTTCCCTCCTGGCAGCAAGGAAAATTTTGCCAGTGAGAAATTAAGACGTGTGAGGTCTTGCCTACTTGGGAAAGCTTTACTGACTTCATTGCTATAGCTATCTTGATATTACACCTCATCTGGGCACACACCTCTAGCAGGGAGAGTGGCTTTTTCTGGCTTTGCTTAAACCCCATCCCGAGTGATTGAAGAGCCACCAAAAAAGCCATTCATCCACCAGTATAAGAGCATTCACACAGAAGGGTCTACTGGTACATCAGTATAAATCTCACAATACGTTACACCCAAAACC